AATTTCCCAACACTATAGTGTTACACCTCCGAGGTATGGACACACCAGCGCTTTTTAAGCACTCCCACTGTGTGATGTGGCTTGCTACGTTTTGGGTAATGCGGTCAAATTTGGCAGCAGATTTTACTGTATCGTTCAAGTCTTTTGTTTTAATCTTAGAAAATTAAAAACACGGCCACATGGCGAACTGGCTCTTTGTCTTATGTAGTCCGCCGGTGTCACAAGCTTGTACGACGATTCGTTTTAAAGAGAGAGAACCAAACGCATCTTAAATCAGAACGTCTGCAGTTGTAGTTACATACCTCTTGGAGCCGTTTTCTTTTTTTTTTACAGTTTCATTAGATTTTTCTTTTTAAACCGTCCAGTTTCAACTGAAACTGAGCAGAAGAAAGTGTTTTTTTTATCTTCTATATTGGAAAAGACACGACATAGACATTGTTTTAAACAACGTAAATTCACGTCATCCACCTTTTTTTCATGGCGAAGGACAAATTACCTGAAACTTCCCATCTATCCTACCTATAGTGCTGTAAGAAATCTAGCAACCCCTCAAATATGATGATAAATATGCAGAATTTCCCTGCATCAGGTTAAAATCCAGACAAGACTTCCTGTTCCTGTTTATGTCAAAACTCTTTGCTCCAGGCAAGCTAAGGCTGACCCCCTTTTTCAAAGAGCTGAACCACCGGACTGTCTTTTGTAAGCACAGTATATGGTGCCTTCCTGAACTTTCTTCTACAATTTGCAGACTTGGCTCATGTCAAAACTGGGTCGCTGGATTATTTCTGTATTGCTGTCCAACATTTTCAAAAGACTCAGGACAAAAACAGACATCGCTGGGCTGTGGCTTCTCCGTTTATGCCTCCCTCATGTTTAACCTCTGATTCTGATGCCTTCTGAGGAAGAAGCACAAAGATTTGAAATGAATGCTTTTCTCAGAATTGAGACTTCTGTACTCTCTGCTTTGCTTTTTCCTAAAATGGCGGGATGCGTTTCATCGACTCAGACCATTTTGAAACATATTATTTAACATACAGACGATGAAAACAGAGCCCCCCCCACGGTCCCCTGAATCTGCTGGTGTGAGTAATCTGGTGTAATTGCGCCAGGGTGAAACCTTTGAAGACCCAGTTTGTGTTGTGACTGAAACAATGATGATTAAAGCTTGTTCACTTGTCAACGACAATTAGGACAGAGCCCAAACTTAAGAAGCAGGCACACTGAACATTAGCAAAGTAAAGATTACGATGAGATCCGAGTTTGACCGAATACCTTTCTGCTTATTGGTGCATTCAAAGAATACGCAAGATCATATTTCCATTTTAGCTGCTGGGGGATTTTATTTCAGTGACAAACAATACAACACAAGGTGACTTGGAGGCATGAAAGACTAATGCTCATAGCATATGATACAGATTAACCACAGAGAAATCGAGGTGCTTATTAACACCACTGTTTGATCTCAGTGGCACAAATTGATGCAAGGTGAAGAAACTGTTGCCTAATTATGATTGATGATGACAGGAAGGGGAAATGTTTAGTGCTTTTAAAACCTCAGAGAGAAAGTAGTTCCTGGTTAAAAGCTTCACATTAGGAACTTTGGGAGGAGAAGCCCACACAGAAAAAAAAATGAAAGTGGGAAATGAGGGTGACTGATTTTACAAGCATTTGATCTGAATTTGGGTTCGAGCTTTTCACCACCGGATCTATTTTGTGACCAGCACAAAGCTGAATATTGGTCCGACTTGCCCTTTTCAGACCAAAGAATAAAACAACTGGTTGAATTAAACTGGGAAAGTAGAACAAAACATCTGCCCACATCATCAGTGATGAATTTCCTGAGGAAAATTATCCTATCTAAAAACCAAACATGCACAACATGCTAATCCAGCAATACCTCCACTGTCACTGTGGAATGTTTCAGTGGTGTTCAGTTTGTTGATATAAAAGACTTGTCCTGACATATTATTAAATGAAAAATTGCACGGCTTCATACACACTTTGAGCCAATGTGAGCAGACCTGCAGACCTTGCTGCCTCTGAGTCTCAATGGTCATCAGACAACCCCATAAAATGCTGTGATTCCATTTTCCTACAATTACCAACAATTTCCATCCATCCTTTTAAGTGAGTGGTAACGTTTGCTGCCTTGTCATGGCTGTGATGGAGCTTGACTTGGCCAAACAAACCAGGTTAAGTGCTGCTTCCGGTCCCCTAACTGTAAGTCCCTGTGATGGGATTGCATAAAAGTTGATAGAGCTTATTTTAGCTCAAGGTTCTAAAAAAATATATTTAAAAAATAGGATGGGCCCACCAAGTGATACTTGAGTTTCACATCTTTCCTAATGCAGCCTCGACAAGAAGAGAGCCAGCGGACTGAACTGCACTCTGGAATACACAGAGGGGGCAATGGGAAGCCAGGAGCCCACGAGGTGGGGCTTTCTGCCTTTTCCCCCGAAGCATCAGCGCTTTTTCGACTGTTTCCAAGAAGTGCCACTTAAGAATGCATAAGTGAGCCAAATCTGAGTTTGATTTTTTTTTTTTTTTTAAACAAGAAAATCCTCGATTTAGAGGTCATCATCAAAAGTTAATCATTGCTAAGTTGGGCCATTCCCCAACTCGCAATAAAAGTTTTATGCAAATCTTTACATTTCCCTTTGAGTGAGCCTGTGAACAAACTGTACAGACCACAATCCTCCACCAGCCTCCTTGATGGGCAAAAGATCTACTCTCCTGGTTCTCCACCATTTCAGGCTCCCCCTATGGCTCCATAACTTCTGGTGGCTTTAAAAGGATCATGGGGAGTAATCATTTCTGGATGGTATCAGCCAGAAATAATCGCAAGTATGGAAAAAATTATATTTGTTAGAATAAACTGTGTGCTGGAACTATCCTGCCATTTCATTCACATAAGCAGCAGGGCTTTTGATAAGATGCTTTCCCCAAAAATTAAATAAGCCTTTATAATTGAAAAGATTGTTTTGCTGTTTGTAAAAATTTTTTAATGTTTCATATTAATGATATTGGCTCTGATGGACCAAATACCAAAATAATGGGGTTGAAATTCTTTCCCCCTGAATGATTCCCTTCAGAAAAGAGGATACATTGTTTATGATGTTTAATGCTGTTTAGGCATTTAGCAGACACAAAAGCAACTTACAAAGTGGAATATATACATGTGTTTCTATCCGTCTGGGACTTGAACCCTGGTCTCCCGCGAGACAGGCGGGGACACTACATGTTGTCATTGACACATGGTGTTACACATCTATACGCATCTATGACTAAAACAGCACCAAAGGAATTACATACTCCCACGATCACATGAGGTGGAAGGAAACCCAGTATGCCAGGCCCTCTTTGATTGGCTAACAATGAGTTTTTTCATGTTTTACTCTCTCCAGGGAGGACAGCAGCTAATCCTCTCCTGCTCTGCACAGGTGATTCCTAAATCTAAAAAAAAACAAAAAAAACAGCTATTATCTTAGCTTTTTGGCGTCAGCACAAACTCTGGCTCGAGCCGAGCCCAGTACGTGGATGATGGGGCAGTATACCGCCCCTTCAGCCTGCAGCCGGCCTGTCATCGGGGAGGAAGTGACCAGCCATAACCCTCCGAGCCCTGAAGGTAAACATGCTATAACACCATCATGTGAAAATAATTTAATCGGCGTGTTTTACAGTTGTGCCGGCGCTTTAAAAACTGGTCGGAGCACGCCACTCCCGGTGTAAGAACACCCATCCCACCTCCCAGCAGACTACAAAAAGCTTTGCTGTGTAATGACGTTTCTAAATGATGTCAAAAACATTTTAGGCGCCTCTGTGCTGCAGCATCTCGGTACTTAGCCGTGTGCGCGCACACGTGGTGACATCTGTGACAATTTAATGTAATCCGCTCACA